GAGAGAGGGGGCTACAACGAGAGGCTGTTCTTTCTCTCTCTGTTCTCTCGGGTCCTTCAGGACTATGGTATTCCATCCTTCAGGATCATTATATCGCCAATTAGAAGATAGCGGAGCATGGCGTCGCCTAACAAGCTTCCTGGGGGGGAAAGCTGGGTGGTAGAAGACGAGGAGGGCAGGCAGAGAGGGCGAGGACAGACCTACTCTCGCGTCGTTATACGACTATCGTACCAGTGCGGCGCAACGCGGAACGAAGCGGAGCGAAGCGGCGGCGCCGCGATGCTTCGCGTCTCTCTTCGGCGCCACCACTATAAAATATTCACTGCAACTCGATGCTCCTGACCGGGCCGGCACTACGGTATAATTAAGACGCACGTGAGATCGTCTTGACGATGCCAATTGTGTTCGTTACGGATAAGGGTCTTCGGAACGCGGTACAGCTCGCAGGGGAGGAGTATATATATATATATATATACATATATATATATATCGATCCAACTACGAGAAACCGAAATGACAAAAGAGCGAAATACGGCGGGCAAACTCGATTACAAAAAGGGACACGTTTTTTGCCGTTTCGCGCAACATAATTTATTCGTTATAATATAAAATCTGAATAATGCCGTACTTTTCTCATCTTTAAAAAAAAAATCGTGGATGAGATTTTTTTAAATTTTGCATAGTTTAACTTGTATAAATTTTTACTTTCCTTTGATCCTTCATAAAGTTTTTCGACATTTTAATCGCGATGTTTACTAAAACCAAAAATAAAAATCGTAACGTTTCGGAAGAGAGAGAGATTTTTTACTGAGGAAAGATGAAATCGTGTTTAAACAATAAAAATTTTATTGTGTGCAAACACTCGTCCATACTGACGACAGCCTCAGCAAAGTTTCCGATCGTTCTGAGCGATCGTCCTTCTTCCGGAAACAACGCGAATGTATACGAAAGGAATCGCCACGCAGGAATCGTTTCGAAGTCTTCGCGAAAGAGAAAGAGAGAGGAGGGGGGGAGAGAGTAAGGGAATCGACGTGGTAGCGCGGTAGCGATACACTTTTCTTCGTAGGCAATATTCATAAATCACCCTTCAGATCGCTCCCGCCCTCGCCGCGTTTTCGTCCCCTCCTCCTCTCCCCATCCGTCTCTTTCCATCCCTCTTATATACGCTTAGAATATAAGCGTCAGTTTTCTTTTTTCGGCGAAGGGATGCAGTGCCGGGGTCAACTTCCCCCGTGACCCCCCCTCCCCCCTCGACGGTCTTCCTCACCCTCCAAAAGTTCGTCGAAGGGAGGCGGGCGGTTGGAAAGGCGCGGAACCATAGGAACGAGTTAGTCCTGCGGTGGTGTGGGACTCGCTGAGAAGGGGTGGTCTCAGATTCTATTAAGATCTCAGTAAGTCTTGTTACACGGGGAGGCCACGCCGCAAATCTCGCAATAAAACAGCCACCGGTATAACACCGATTCGGGGACCGTCGTCGTCTACCAGTAGCCCCATCCCCTGTCTCTCCCGTCTTCGTAGCTGCGTCGTCGGCGACGTCGCGCGCGTTCCTCGTACGTACCGAAACTCCCCGCGGCGTGTCCCGGAGGAGAATAGGAGAAGGAGAGAGAGGGAGGGGGAGGGGGCAGAATTTATCTGCGGCACGCAGTATTCCGGAAGAGGAAAGTCACTAGTAACCCGAGCCCGAAACCCCGCAATTAGCTTTTTAGAATTGTTAACTCTCCGAATGCGCCATTCAATTTTCTCCTTATTTAAGCAATAAGAAATATTAGCCATTTCCGTGTACATTCACTGTTACGTATCTGTATTATACATAACGTTGATATTTCTGTTTCATTACATTTATAAAAACATTGTCATAATAAACTTTTCTTTTTCTAAGATCCTTCCCTTATCTATTATCTTTTAAAAGCTAATAGCGAATTCTCAGAGCTATCTATATATTCTATATATAAAATCTATATATCTATATATAAAATTTATATTCGTCACGAATTATAATATAGATACGAAAATTATCGTCTTAAGTCTTAATCAAATCCATTATCGCGGGTATCGTGCCACTATGGCATGAAAGAAGCAACGAATGCAATATCTCTTTTTTGTGCGAAATTTTCACGTTCTCGCACTCGGTCTTCTACGGAATGTCGATTATGGAGAACCAACTCGAG